CTGATCACATACATGTATTCCTTTAACTTGAGGAAAACGGATGGTATGGCGTCGAGAAGCTATTTCCTCAAAACATATTCACAACGAGCGAACCGGTCGGAATCGGCGCTGCGTGAGCTCTCAGTCGCCAGCGAACCCTAGCGTCGAGCGGGCGAAACTCTGAAGAGGAGGCTCTCGAAGACTCATGCCAGCGTGAGCTCGCCATGTATGATTCGTCGCATGTATAAATACGATTCGTCTGGAGCACAAATCTTGACACGGCGTCGAGTCGAGATCAAGTCAAGCCGCAAGGATGAGCCGCACCTGGCACTTGCAGCCTCCGCAGGCGATCTCCACGCGAGAATCTGGGTCGCAGTGCCTGAACGTCTGCTCGCATACGACGAGCGAGGGCGAGCCGTTGCCGCAGAATCGGCTCCTCTGACTCATTCTGATATTTCTTTCTACCATGGAAACTCCAGGCTCTTCGGGAATAATTCCAATGCTAGTAATTCGTGTGGATCCCGGAACTTGAATCGGCTTCAAGTCCGGATCGAGTCCAGTAGCGAGAGTGAACCGCACTTGGCACACGCGGCCACCGCGGGCGACTCTCAGGCTGGAACATTTGTCGCCGCCCCTAGATGCCTGATCGGAGACCACGTTCGAAGGCGAGCCGATCCGGTGACCTCGAGCCATCTCTTCGGTCTCAATCACAAATTTTCCCAGACGATGGAAACTTCAACCTCCTACAAGATCACTTGTATGCTTGTGCTGGGCATGAGTTTAATCCTCAGAATTTGTGTTGGCTCCAAGTTGAGAATTCTAATCCTCAGATACCAACGATCAGCTATAAGATGGACCGAGTGATTAGAGAAGCTCTCAGGAAAAAAGCGGACGTGGTGCTGGCTCGAACGGACAACCTCTCTATACGTCGTTCCGACTTGGAAACACTCCACAATCTAAACTGGCTCAACGACACTATAATGAATGGCTACCTCAATCTCATCAGCAAGCGACGCGCGACGCTCTCATCCTCCGCCGCCGCAGATCCTCCGATATCCATCACCTGGGACTGTTCTACTGTCGAGAGTCGGTACAGATCGACTTCAGGCCTCCCAGGTCAGCACCGCCAAACAGCTTCACGTTCACTAACATGTATTGACGCTCATCGTCGGAGTCAAGCGATCCCATGTAGGAGTTCATCCCTGCGTGTCCATCGTTTCCCATGCTCCTGCACATCATGCGAACCACGTCGCCCATCGTCAAGTCCCCGAAAGAAGATGTTTGCCAGGAATACACGAGATCCGATGAGAATTACGAATATTCTGATTGCTCTCCGGGACGCTACCTACTATATCTTCCGTCTCGACCGGCTGACCAGAATTCAATGAGCGAACTGTTCTCCGATTCCTCAACTGCTTCTTTAAATCTGACACGATGTCCGAGCGACCATCGATCAGAGCTCGAGTGAGCGTACAGTTTAGGAACTCGTTTATGCGAGCCGGTGTCAGAGCACAAACGTTACTGAATGAGGCTACAGACACCGCTTCGAGAAGATCACCAGTAGGAAGATGCATGGCCACGATGAGAACGACAGCGAAGAATTCCATTCCGGACTCCTCCTCCTAGGCCTTACCTTTCAAACAACATAGACTGATCGGTCGCGGCTCGGAGCTATCAATTTCCCGCGATCGAGTTTTCATGTGTTGTCGTAGGTGAATAGGTCCGATCGAGTGACCTTCGGTAAATTTGGAAAGTCGTTCGATTCGCAGCAATCGGAACGATACTTTTGGCGCCGATGTGCATCGGTCGCCGGCTCCTCCCTGATATTCGAAGTACGGAACACAAATTAACCACGAGGAACGGTTCATCTCGTGGTGGCACCGCCCCCAATCGACCGCGATTTCGAAGTTTCAACAAACTTGATTGGCATTTGTTTAATTATCATTCGATCAGAGTCGCGGAAATGGCCAAAACGCCGTCGACACGGAATTCATGGATGAAAGAGATATCAGGGGGCGCACGGTACGTGCGTGGCAGAACAGATGGGACCACTCCACGACAGGCACGACGGACACACAGCTGCATAGCTATTCTCTCCTAAAAATTCGCCTAGCAGAAGCAGGGATGACAGTCCGATGGCGCCAGAAATCCTAGATCAAATGCTGACGAGCGGAGCAGACTGGGAACGCAACACGCGGATTCAGGATAATATCATTAGAAGAAAGGAAACCATCAAACCCTGTGCCGACCTAGCTCCTCCTGCAATGAAGAAGTGGGAATGGCGAGACGAGAGGCCGGTGGAGCCTAGAGCTACACGATAAGAAGACCGGAGGGAATATTCGCGGATGGCGGCTCCGGCCCTTTCCCAGTTTCCGGTCTCCTGTGCTCGGTTCGTGTCAGCACGCATACATTCCTTTAATAAAGAGATTTGAAAAGTCAGTCAGTCGGCGCGTCGTTTGCGAAGGATCGCTCGTCGATGTTCGGGCATGTGTGCTAACACCCTCGATACCCATTTTCGCTCATGATATCGAGCAAATCAGCTGAAGCTGGTCGCCGCAGGAGCAAAGTGGGCTCATGGAATCTGTGGAGCGACTTCCGGTGCTCAGATTGTCTTGCATTCACCATCGTTCATTGGAAACGAGTAGGGCTGGGAAATTGGCGAGATCGCGCCAAAAGCCGTGAATTTTCACGGTATTTTAGGTGATCCTCCATAGGAAGTCAATGGGGGGTGAAAGTTGCCGTGAATTTTCGGGAAAAATGGCGTGAATTATTCCCAGCGTTAGAAATGAGTTATGAGGGAGTTATGCGGAAAATTCATCTCGCAATTCGCTTTTTAACGGACTGACGCTGATGTCTCAGACCATTCTTAATCAGGCCCTCTGCAACGCCGGAGATATGGATATACAAAAGTAGAACTCCACCCGTCAGGGTTCTCAGGCAGGCCATCTTGACATCTCCTTCTGTTCTTCTTTTCGCACGGGCGTCTCAGCTTTCCCGTTCCTCCCTAGAGCGATCAGGAGCAATCATTCTCGATCGCTGTGTCCGATGTACGGAAACGGATACAGAGGCGCCATGGAGGGATGAGGGAGCGAGAGCCGTGAAACGAGGACATGGAACTGAATTATCGCCGTCCTCTCCCCGCTTCATCATTGGACTGGCATATTGGAAGACTCTAGAAAATCAGGGGGATTATTAGTTGTCGGTCTGGCGATCCCTCCATTCATGCAAGGGAGATGTTTTCTGGAATCGATGCTTTCCGGGAAAGACTATGTGAATATTTTGAGAGTCCATAGCACCTGTTCGGTTCTGTACGGGATCCCATGGGCAAGGTTTTACGAGGAGCCACGAGCCCAATGCTAAGGGGCCTACACGATGGAACAGTCCGCGAAGCTCTGGTCTTGATATTGTTACCTCGATGCATCAATGGAGGGATGGGCTATCGTATAAGGAAGCACGTCTGATTCGCCCCTGTTACGACCAATATTTAGAGGTGCTGTCCGTAGAGGATTACTATACCTTTAACCGAAATATATCTGATCTCATGTATACAATATATCAATAAACCCCGATCCTGCCAACCGACTCCGAACGCCGCCACTCGATC